AACCTAGGAGACAGAAATAGCTAACATGGTGAGTTGCTGGGGTTATGTCATTAAAGGGGTTGCTTTAGCTCTAGTTCTTTTGTCTTCTAGCCAACATATGGCAAGCCTATAGGGCTCCACGTATGCTTCTGCCCTGAGGTTATGTCTAACCAGAGGCCCACAAAAAGTAGAGTCAAGTGGGCATAGATCTTCTAAAGCTGTCCGTCAGAATAAAACTTTTCCTAAACCTTTCTTTTAAGATTTCCTTTGCCAAAGTTTTTTTTTGTTTGTTTGTTTTTGTTTTTTCTAAGAGCTGATTAAAATATTCCTTTTATAAGAACAATCTAGTCAGTACTACCAAATGAATTATCTGAGGATTATCTCATGCGAACCAACAATTATCTAAAGACTTTTCAGTTCGCTCCATTCTCAGGTTTCTTTAACTCCCAAAAGTGTCAAACCAGTGAATGATCCTTTATCGACAATGGACCTTTTGAGAATAAAAATTCTACTCAAGGTCATAGTCCTAAGATATTATTTTTCTCTTCTTTCTTAAATAACACGTAAACCAATTGACTCAGCATAGTCTATCTTGCCAGATTTTGTGGAAAAGTGTCTACAGGATGATTAGTGTTAAGACTAGTTTAGCAAAACAGGGGAGATATGCTAATGAAAAGAACAATGGTGGTATCAGATGGTATCAAATGTGAGAAGATATAGTCATATAAGTTTTTGATGGTAGAGGCAGGGAGAGATTTTGTAGGTCACATTCAAGAGTACAAACTCACTGTTAATTTCCTAATTTTTAATATTATCACTAGTCTAAATAATAGAATATTCCTGATTCATTTTACCAAAGATTGGAATCCAGAAAATTCTACAAAAAGTATCTTATCAATTTATCAAAACACATGGAATATACCTCATTCTTTAGTTCTTAGACTGAATATGTGACAAAAAGTAGAAGAAAGTCAGATAATAGAGTTAATACAGATGTAACAATGGGGACTACTGAGATGTAAGCTTTTTCAACGTTCAAGATGGAAAAAAGACACATCTATCTCATCTCAGTCCTGTGGAAGATCTCTCTATTCTCTGGGTTTGGGAATAAATGTTCTCCACTGTGCTTGACTCGTTTGATATTGAAAACTATGTTTTGGTGAGGTCTGGTGATAGACTCTGGCTGTTCAAAAAACAAACCTTAGAAGGAATCATACCCTCATGACTCTAACACTCAATGGATGGAGATAGCAAACAGGGACTTGCATGGTCTTACAGAATTAATAGTAAATGCTTCTAATATAGAAGTGAATGTTGCAAAAAAAATGATCTCATGTCATGCCGCGTTTATTTGGATGCTGCTAGGAAAGAGAGAATCCTCTGAAATAATAGAATGTTCAAGAATGTTGCATATTGATGGTTTCTTGAAACAGTCTCATCAGAGGACACAGTTTTCTTTGGATTTTATTGTCATGTATTAATTGTACAAATTATTACACGCGGTACATACGTATAATACTTTGGGTCACTTTTACACCTCTCCTTTACCCCTTTGTATCCCTTCTTTCTCCACCCTCTTTCCTCCTTTCACATCCATAACAAACTGAACAGTTCTCAGTGTACACAGATGTTTATGTTATTGAGAAAAATATCTCTTGAGACCACTAACGCTGCATGGGAACAAAAGAAAAGCTCTTTGTAAGGATGACCTCTGTTAGGAAGGTATGGGAAAGGGATGGTGGAGAGAGGAGCAGAGAATTGACAAAGGGGAAGAAGAAAAGTTAACCATACTTCATCTTCTCTTCTCACTGCCAGTTTCTGGCCTCAAATGGACCTGAACTGTGCCCAAGGAAACTCAGCTAGAGTTTGATGCTATTTTGGATCGCATATACATTCATGATTTGAAAGTACTGTAGCAATTTAAAAATCCCACAATACAGTAAAATACGCTGAGAATTTCTTGAATATATTATTTCCATGCTTGTTCAATAGCGTCTTAATCATGACAGAAGAAGTGTGGACATTTCTAAAACTAGCAAATCACAACAAAAAACTTCAGATGGAAATAACACATTATCTAGTAGGAGTATGGAATGCACTGAGCTCAGCCACCCAGGATGAGATTAGGAATCAACATAATTTTCTGTTCACAGTTATCAGGCAACTGCTTCTTGCTTGACTTAGGAAAATATGCCTCAATCACTGTAAACTTTTTAAGGATCATTTGAGAAGCATTTCTGCCTTAGTCATAAATGTTCTACTCAGATTGTAAACCATGACATTCATTTTCAGTTTGAGCTGGCTATATTTATGGAATGAGACATGGCATACAGAAAACAATATCTATAAATCACACATATATTTTACTTTAAAACATTTTCACTTTTAAGAAAATGTCTTGCACCTGATTTTAGCTGAAATGCTAGAGCAACGGTGACATGAATGTTATGGGAGTAGCCAAACACTTATTTACTGGATTTAAAGTTCATTTCATGAGACAGAACATATACCTGTCACTGACAGTGCTGAAGAGGACAAGAACCTGAGACTTGATAGACTATGATAATATTAAAAATTAGGAAATTGGGGAAGGGGACAAATATAATCAAAATATTCTGTATGAAATCATTTAAATAAAAAATGAAAAGATTAAACAAAGAGTTCAGAAATGTGTCTAAAGTTTTGTTCCTCTTTGAACTCTATGTACTCTTCTTCTGTATGTAGACACAGGATGAAATGCTGGTTTTATGAACAATATATCCTTGATATCCCTCCGGATACCCAGTTCGTTAGAGACAATCAAAAAGGAGGTAAATCCAGCATTCTGTACTTTGCCTCTTCTGTGAAACAGGGAAACTGAGACCCTATGGAGTTATACACATTCAGAAGACTAGAGAATAACTGATTAAAAAAAACATAGAAAGAGAAAAATCTTTTTTTTAAGCTTACTTTCTTGCCATTGGATAGAAGACAGGTCCCTGGAATTACTGAATTACTGCAGTATTCTCTCCGTATTAACATAATATCCTTTAGACTGTGTGTATATATATATATATATATATATATATATATATATATATATCATTAGATTATATATATTCAGTTAAATTACTCACAACCTCAATTCGCTGATTATTTGAATGTCAATATTGAGGAGTCCCACTAGCAAGATAGTGTGGTAATGCAAATATACATTCCAGAAGGCTTAAATAAGAACAAAGAAATTATGTATCAGATAAATAGTTGTTAAGGCTTTTCTTTGTTCGTGTTACTTAGGTAAGAGTTGGGAGGTTTCCTTTGTAATGATGACAAGGAGAGGCAAGATTCGGGTAGGGTGCATTGCTGCACATTTTCTCTTTCCTGGAGGATGCCTGAAAAACAATGACGTTTTGTCCGCCCGTGGATTCAGTGTTATAAATGACTGTACTCTGTAAACTAGATTGAACTCATCACTTTTTCTCAAGTGAACTTGCTTCTTTGATAAAACAATATAATAAGGTATTCACTATTGGATCTGTGACACTTCAGGCTAAGTGTTACAATGCTTTCATGTCAATCTGACAGCATGATTTGACAGACTATTTTACATCTCCTTGACAATATAGGCATTTTAAAAACAAACACAAACAAACAGACAGAAAATAAATACTGTTGACGGCATACTCCGCCCCCCTCCGCTCCCATTTCTTTCATTTTTAAACAGTTGGTGTTTGATGGATGATAGATTCTGGCAGCTCAATATAACAAACCCTAGAGGAAAAAAAGGAGAGGACAGGCGGATAGGTGGGTGGTGGGTGGGGAAACTGCGTGGTATGTAAAATAAATGGGAAAGATGTTATTTAAATTAAAAAAGAATCTCACTTTGGCAGTACTAATAATCAGCTCGGGATTATTGGGTCTAGCCATTTTAATCCCAAGAAGAGGCATTATGGTCGTTTTCTCGGTACTATTTCATTTTATTATGAGGCAGGAAGCGATGGGTTTAACACCTCACAGTTACTCACTATACCATGGCTAACAATTCTACAGCTGAGGCCCAAAACCACAGTGTTTTGGTTTACACTATAGTAATTTACATTTTCTTAAAAGTATAATTTTGTCCAGGAGTGTCTTTCTAACATTTTGTACATTGACACAATGAGCTGGGGTCACTAAGATCACTACAATAATCCGTAAAAGTGCCACATGTTCATGACAATGGAGCTAATTAGGCTTCAATCACATAATAATCTGTTGTGTGCAAAGGGTCTCTCCTTGCTCCTGTGACATCTCATTGTTCATCTCCATCCCTATCCAGTACTGTGTTAAGTGACTACGACACAAAGAACATAACTTCTCTTTGAAGTTCTTCTTAACTCCTTTATCTCTTCTAATAGTGGGGCTATATACACCATCAACATATTAGCTGGTAGCCATTACAGCAATCTCCCTATTGCTGCCAATTTAGGAGTTCATACATATTTTGCTCTAGTCCCTCAAATAAGCTTTTTTTCTGACTTTTTCAAGTCTTTGTTTCAATAAGGTCTTTTGAAACCTTACTCAAGTGAGTATGAATGTCTTTATATATTTCCTAATGACCTCAATGGAAAAGAACTTGATATTTTTATATATATACTTTCCAAACCACATCATGCAAGTATCACTGTATTTTATATTTATTTTATATTCAGTATATGTAAGAAGAATCTTTGAGGTTCTATAAATATTGATAAATCATGAAGTTTACAAAATTATTAAATGTCTAAACTGACATATGCTCTTTGTATATTTTACATAACACTTTATTAATTATGTTTTACTTATATAAGTACATGTCAATGCATCATTGTAAATATTTTGTAAATTTCTTTCATGCAAATAAAGTATCATTAGGATTTAAGATTTTTCAGATTCTAGATATGGTTACATATTATCCGATTTTTGCAAACATTTTCTCAATAACTGGCAGACAACGTCAATATCCGAGAAAATACTTTTAAATTAAACATGGTGATATTTATTTTCTCTTCAGACCAACTTACCTCTCACAATGATGTTGGTGGATTTTTTTGCAGGATTTCCCACATTATTATTGGCAATGCAGCTATAAGTACCAGCATCATCTGAGGTGATGGCAGGTATGGTAAGCGTCCCTCCATTCAAAACAATCTTGTCAGGTAGAGTCCCGAAGGACCTGACCCAAGTGAGAGAGGGCGTGGGCTCTCCTCCTGTCGTAACACACACTAATGTTATGGCCTCTCCAGGATTTACGACTATAGGATCATCCACCAACAGCTTAATTGACGGGGATGCTAAAAGACACAAACAGAAGACATGCATACATTTAGTGAGGGATGCTGCAACTGGAAATCAACAACAGGACTTATATATACTTAAATGTTTGAGCAGTTAAAATTAAACTTTGTTCCTTTTTTTTATTATTATAAAGACAAGGTACTACTCAAACTTGAGCCGGGTTTAACACTTCTGTACCTCACTTAAGCAGCATAAATGTCCAGAACATCATTAAATGTTTGACACTTGATGCGATCTTTTGAAGCTCCTCCCTCAGAAGTGAAACTTTCCCTCATGAAATTTCTCCAGACTCAGGATATTAATCAAACCCATCAGGTTCAGAAAACTCATGAAACTCATAAGAATTTTGGAGCTTCTCCCAAAGCTTCACAAGGTTCCTCCCCAGTCTCTGGTAGGAGAGGACACTCTCTTCAGTGTCACTGCCTGGAATCTGTGCAGACAGTTCCAGGAAGTCAGTCTTTGCTAGTGGTCCCCAGCCCTGGGTGTGGCTCGCCGGAGTGCAGCTGTTTTCACACCACCTGTGACCCCAAGAGGCACTCCAAAAAATTCCTGATTTCTTAGCTAGACTTGAATAACTTCTAGGAGCTGCTGTCAATGCTCTAATGTCCAGGCCACCCTAGGAAAGGTCACACAAGAATATGCAAATATTCATTTCCCAGAATTATTGTTTTCTGTCACAGGAAAATAAAAGTGATGGAGTCGCCAAGAGCAGCATCCATTTCTCCTCAGTGATAAGCCACCTTTTCTCTCTATCATTTGTAGTTGTTCAGTCCTTGTGTTTTCTTGGCGGAGATGGCTGAGGCTTTCATTTTTGGATTATTCAGGAATGGGATGATTGATTTTTCAACCTAAATTTAAGCAAGCAACAGAGAGCATAATTCCTCACAATCTCTACCCACAGCAAGCCCTGACTGCACTTCTTCAGGTGCCAATTCAAGGCTGTGTTCATATGGAGTCAAAATAAGTGCCTAAGGTGGTACCTGAGTCAGGATGGCTTAGGTAGCGAGTTCTCACAAGCACAGGTTTAACATTCAGAAAGAAACAGCCACAAATTTCCCAGCAGAAATCCCGAGCCTACCACTTCTATTATGGTTAAACGATAAAATTCTCACAGTAAAAAATAAGTCTTCTGAACTCCTCAGGTTAAAAGTAGAAAGATAAACACTCACTAAATTAAAAACAATCACCTTTTCAGGAAACACTGAAATTAGAAGCTATATATAGAACATAAAATATGACATTCATACGTGGTATATTCTACTTACAGCAAAGAATAAGTATACACAACACTTTCATAATAGAAGTAGGGACATATATTTTATTGATGTTCAATTTCATATGTTCAGAAATATTTTATGACAAAATGAAACCTATATTATATGTAATCTATACATATATATTTAGATAGAGAGAGAGACTTAAATTGTTCAATGTTATTGCTTTATTTAAAAAATTATTAAGCTTAGTTTAGACATGCAGTTTAGAATCATAACTTGTTAACTTGTGTGTTTAATAAAATAAATTTTACTTAAAAAAAAAACAAGCTGAGCAGTGGTGGCACACATCTTTAGTCCCAGCACTCAGGAGGCAGAGGCAGGCAGATCTCTGTGAGTTCGAGGCCAGCCTGGTCTACAAGAGCTAGTTTAAGGACAGGGTCCAAAGCTACAAAGAAATCCTGAGTCAAACCAACAAACAAAACAAAACAACAACAAAAAGAAACAAAAGAAAAGAAAAAGAAAGCAAGAATAGGGCAATAATTCCATATAAATATTCATGAGAGAAACAGGGAGTCTATATGGCATTTCCGAACATCCTTGTTCCCTCCTGCTTCTTCTAACATCATTAAAATAGCATGGGAATTTTCAAAATGTCACAACATCAGCTCCTCTGATGTTCTGACATTAAAGTATAAAGATTTATTATTAAAAAGATGCTAGGAAATACACATAGTAAAGGTGATATGCAAAACTCACCACAGTTGGGGAGAAAACAAAGTGTATCAAAGAATTATTAAATATTAAACTAATAAATGGAAGATGTCACTAATTAAATTTTCTAAAATATGCATTGTGCTTAATTATTAATGTATTACTGTCAAGAGACAAAATGAATATTTATTGGAGTAAATAGCACAAACCTAGAATGTTGTAGTTATGATAAAATTATTATATAAATCCTAACATATAATACTGACAATGTTTAATGTGTTATACATGAATTTAAGTTAAGCTAAAAGTAACCAAGTCAAAGTTTACTAAGGTATATTAGGACCACAGAAACACTGAATTTACATTAAATAAAAATTATTTGTCTATATAAAAGGCTTATATGATGGTGAACAGTTCTGTAGACTTAATATTATATTCAAATGTATTTGTTAAATAAATCTCAAAATTATAGGGTGGTACTTTTGACATATGTGCATTAGCATGTAACATTTAGTTAACTATCTTTTACAATTATAAGGTCTTTTTTAAGAATTGTATGTGATTTTAGAGCATAAATAGAATCATGTTAAAGTGAGGGATAGCTTGCCATAGCATAGAAATCATTTAATATAGGAAACTCAATTTTTTAAAATCAAACTTTAAAGAATTTAGATAGAATGGGTCATTTGTTAATTAGGAATTATATACAAACATTCTAAAGAAGGTTCTGCCTTTCATAATTTATTTCAGTTAGACAGGACCTGACTGTTTAATCCAGGAATTAATTATCTCACTGTGCAACGAAATGGCCATTAAACTTAGCATTTTTGGAGGCTGTTGCTCCTGAGGTCTAGGATTACAGGAGCTGACTTCAGTTTCAAAAGTCACATGCAGTATGTAATGGGGTGTGTGTGTGTGTGTGTGTGTGTGTGTGTGTGTGTACATCTGTATTTTGTAGGTCAGTGTAGCGTGTGTGTGTGGACAAAGGCACCAATAAAAAGCCCAAAGGATAACTTGAGGGGGTTCTCTTCTTTCACCACGTGGTACCTGAGGATTGAACTCAGGTGGTCAGGTGGGTGGCAAGAGCTTTTCCTTGCTGAACTGTGCCTCTAGCTCTAATGTTTCATTACTTCATGCTTTCATCTGACTTTTGTGGCAGAGGCCTGCATGACTATAAAGATAGCTCTAACTAGAGCAATGGGGAATAAGGAACCTGGAGACAAACACACAGAAGAGTTGGACTGAATGGACTGTGCTCTGATGGAGATGCACTGATGACAGCCAGGAAACCCAGCATGTTTATTACACATAGCATGAAAGAAGAGAAGGCCAGCCTGCCATCCAGGAAGAGAAAGTTGTGACTGATAGGTTCTGCATACAATGGTTTCAGCTAAAAGTCAAAAGTTCTTGATCAATATCCATACTTCGACCAGGGAAAGGCTTTGTGATTCTGCTGAGCCAGGCCTGGGGAAGGATTTTCCACCCAATGGTTCTGTCACTGGGGTCATTATCATGGCTTTTTTTATCTCAGCAGTACACATTCAGTCTCAACTTCATTAGCTCTCCACACATTGCATATATTTCCCAAGTTACAAATGAAACTTTTTAACCATAATTCAGTCCTACCGTTGATTTTTCTGGAGTATGGCATGATAGTTACTCAAAGACCTGACCTTGAACTTGGGCAAGTTCTTTCACTTCCGAGTGCCTCTTTACTGACATTGGTAAAGCAGAGGACAAAACAATGTTTTGACTGAGAGTATAAATATGAAGTCCTTACTTTAATACCTACTGCACACGATTCACTGAGAGGTGTTTTATAGTGTCATTCATTCTACGTTCACCTTGTAGGTTTAGTTGTAACCTGACATATAGTGTGGCGACTAAGAGACAAAATGTTTATAAGCAAGGATTGCTTTGATTACAGGTGAGAGGAGTATTTTAAGATCTGTTGCAGTTCTTAAAGGTTCTGTACCATAACACATAAAACTTATTAAAAGTCATCCAATTTGAGAAACATGAGCCTTTATCAATCTCATTTTGCAATACTGTTATTAGAGAATTAAACTCACTGTATTTCAAAATTTGCTGTCATTTGACTGTTAAAAGCACAGAGATAATTTATGCTTGTCTTGCAAACATGTGCTGTTCCCCACAGATCATGCATCATGAGGTTTCTCTCCTAGTTTATAAGAGTATTCAAGAAATGAAGACAGATAAAGCCCACTGAACTATATCATGAACCAAGCAAGCAGAGTGTGAGGCATAAGCTACCTCCTGTATTGATGAAGTAACCACTAAAACACACATCTATAGTTACGCATGGAGAAAGAGACTTGTAATTCTAGAATGTCAGTGGTAGATGTAGGATAACCAGGAGTTTGAGGTCATTTTTAGATAAATAGAGAGTTGGAGGCTATCCTGGGCTACAAGAAACCTTATTTCAAAACTAATAAACTAACAAACAAAATAAACTATGCACCCATTTGTAAGCTAGGGGCATATATTTCATTTCTTCTTCTTAGTATGTGAGACAGATTACTTTGCCTCATTTTAAAGCAATTAATAAGCACAACGTTGGAAGTAGACCAAGAGAAAAACCAAATAAGACAACATGGAGTTATTCTTTGAGATGCTAACAGAAGTGGGAGGTGGAAGTTATTGTAAAGGAAAGAAACTTGACACAGAAAGGCATAAGGTATGTTTTTACTGATGGGAAAGTAATGAATTGATTTACTAGAATAAAAAGTCAACCAGTCTTTAAAGTCTAGAAAAAGTGAAGCAGATGGAAGAGAGTTGAGTATAGTATGTTCCCAAACATGATCAGACGAGGACTAAATTCTAGGGTCTTGCTGCACAGTGGAATGACAGCTGTATAACAGATCTATAGTATTTGCTATATGTGTTTAGAGGACCTAGATAGAGAAACCTGACACTTCTCAGCACAAAAGTACAATAAATGTTTGAGAAGAAATATATATTACCTTGATTTAATGTACATTTAATATATGATTTAGTAAATATATGTAAAAATTATAAATTAATATAACCACACATTATAAAATGTG